TTGCTTTGCTCTGATGTGTGCTGTAGAACTGTTCTGAGCTCTTGTGTGCAGAACCGTTGATGGTGGTAAAGATTTCAGATGAAGTCTTCGTGGCCACACGTCTGCTGATGCAACAGGAGGCCGTGCAGCTCTGCTTGCTTCTTATTTGTAGGTCAAAATTACACATTTTAGCTGAACCAGCTACAATTATGCACTAAAAGCATTTTTTTTTAGATGCGTTAAGATGTCAGCGACAGATTTAAACACCTCTCTGACAGTCAGTGAGTTGTGACCGTGTAGAAACCTCACGCCGCCATCTGTTGGCAGCTCAGTCCTGACTTCATCAACTCTGTCCTCTGGAAGCTGAAAACACAGAAAATAGAGCTTTTGCTTTAAAGCGGACGTTTTGCCAGAATGAACAGTCTGCAGCTTAAATTATGGTCCATTAAAGCTGCACTTCATACTCTGGTCTTGTTCAGAACCTTCTTTAGAATCAGGGTGGAAAGTTTTTTTTTTTTTTTTGGTAATTTTCTCCAGAAGCGCCCAGGCTTTGAAAAGCTGTGTAGGTCAGCAGCTTTGATGCTTATGTGGGTTAAAAATACTGCTGGGTTTCCTCTCTGCCAACCGGGCCTATAGTCTGCTCAGACGTATCCACAGAACCGAGCAGAAAGCGGAGCCGGATCAGTCGGCATGTCAGTTGTTTCTCTGCTTCATATAGCTGGTTAGTTTCTGTGTTCCTATAAAGAGCGCCATGTTTTCAGTCCAAATGCTGGAACCGAACCGCTGAATTAGTTTGTTCTTTGCCAGCTGTGCATCAAGTCACAGCATCAATGTGCATCGTCATCAGTATGTGTTGATGCTAATCATGGTCCAGCTCAGTCACGTCAGCATTTACTGAAACAAACCGCAGTCCTCAGTCATTAAAAGGTCCAACATCGTCCATCTATCAGACAAATTAACTGAAGTCACATGTTCCCCGAAGGGCTGCAGGTGGATCAGTGGTTAGCACCGTGGCCTCACAGCTAGAAGGTCGCTGGTTCACGTCCCGGTGAGGACACCCGGGATCTTCCTGCGTGGAGTCTCCATGTTCTCCCCGTGCAGCGTGGGTTCTCTCCGGGTTCTCCGGCTTCCTCCCACAGTCCAGAAACATGCTGAGGTTAATTGGTGATTGTAAATTGTCCGTAGGTGTGAATGTGAGTGTGCTTGGTTGTCTGTCTCTAAGTGTAGCCCTGTGATAGACTGGTTACCTGTCCAGGTGAACCTGCCTTCACCCTGAGTCAGCTGGGATAGGCTCCGCCCCCCATGACCCTGGTGAGGGTTAAGGTGTGGAGATGATGGATGGATGCTTCATCTCACCGTAGAACTCCTGGTGCTGGTCCTGATCTGTAAAACATGTAACTCAGATGTTTTCCGCTGCATCAAACTAGCAGGAGAGACGCCAACAGATGAGTTTAGGCTGAACTGAAGCACAACAGCTGACATGACGGGACACACTGACCCACCCAGTCCTGGTCTACTGGTTTAAACTAAAGCTTCCATCCTCTCTGAATGTCTCTACAGAGCTCTCACCTGTGAACACACCTCACAGCTAATGTTAGCCACATTAGCAGCAGAGCATGCTAACACTAAGGATAACACCAGTAACCCACTGGCTGATGATGCTGGCAGTGCATGAAGACTCTGGTGTTCACTCTTGTAGCAGAACATTTGGTGAGAGATGGTGAATGAACCTGGTGGATTCTGAATGGTTCATCTGGAAGCAGTGAGGGGGCGGAGCTACACAAAGCTCAGGCTGGATGATGATTGGCTCCTCAGTTTCTACAGAAACTAATTAAAATGTTTACTGACTTGTGAAGCTGGCTGGAGGCGTTAGAGCAGTGGGCCTCTCAGAACTTCAACCGTCAAGGTTCTGAGACACAACCACAGTAAAAATGGGCCGTCACCATATGGGAGCTTCAGTTTAAACAGTATGATGGTGGGTTGGTAGAAGTATGATGAAATGTTTCAGGATGTTTCCGTCCTTCTGAAGAACACAGAGGCCCTAATGTTGTGTAAATGACGAGGAGCACCTGAATGCGTCACACACAGAATCATCTCCAAATCATGTCCTATGAGGATATTAAGTCCAGTTTCATGCCCACATCTGAACCCAGCAGCAACACATTTGTGCTCCTTCAGCGAGCTCGGCTGGTGTTGAGGGTCTGTGGAGCTTGATCACAGCTTCAGAAGACACCAGCAGCCTTCAGCCTCTTGGCTGAAACACGCCCACGTGTCCGACTGGAAGTCAAATAAACACTCTGGCCTCTCAGCCACTTTCTCTTTCATTCATTATTTATTCACCTCCTGGCTCATGTGTTCACTCTCCAGCTCTCGCGTTGTGTCCTGAACTTGTTTGCAGAAGAAGCCCACAAAGCCCGTAAATCCATGAGCCAGCCACAGCCCATCTGCTCTTATGTAACACTCCCACAATGCACCGGTGCCCAGCGCCCCGGCCTGCACACGTAAACACGCCGGTTTAGAACAGATCCGAGCCGTCACCGGACATCACGCACAACTGACACAGTTCTGTTCTGGTGGATTCATGTGGACGAGCTCCCGGCAGAGTCCGTGTTTGTCTCCATCAGGTGCAGAAGAAGTCTGAGGCCCAGAAGCCATAAAACACATCTGCTGCTGCAGCGACGCCGTCTGAGCAGAGCTCCGAAAACAAACAGAGCTCGAGCTGACGGCCGCACTGAACCAATTTTAGAAGAGCTGATGCCTAGAAAGTGCTCAAAGCGAGTAAATGAAGCAACGCTTTCACGGCAGAAGAAGAAGAAGTTGCGTAACTTCTGACAAAGAAGGCTGTGATGAACTCAGCTCAGAGCTTCTCTGGGTTGTTTGAACGTCTCCTCGAGGAGTTTCTAATATTCTGTCCTCTCTGTTTGGGCCAGAATTTAAACATTGACCTCACTTATGGAAAACGTGTTCCAGATACATCCATGTTCATCTACAGCATCGTCTGTGTCTTGTTTAGTCATTCTCAGTGTAGTTGTGCATTTCTCTACAAATCTTCTCGTCTGCTCTGATGTCAGACGTCCTCATCTCATCTGACACCAGCTTTAGAATTTGTTTCTAGTAAAACCAGACAAGAGTCAGAAGCATCCGGTTTGCTTTAGTGGGTGTTTACTGCTGAGTTTGAATTCATTGGTTTAAATCATCATAAATCAATGAGCATGAATCCTCTGGAGACAGAGACCGCTTCATCGCATGGTGCTCTGACACCGGGCCGGGTCGCTTCTTATCGGCCCTGAAGTCAAAGTGAACAAACAGATTGTCAGAAGGCAGAGCTGCAGAACATCTGAAACGCTCACGCCGCTTCCAGGACCTGCAGAGAGCTGCTCCAGGAAGACCAAGACGGAGAGTTCAGATGATGTCACCGCTACCGACAAGCCACACACACACACACTCACACACACTCACACACACACACACACACCTAAACACACTCACACACACCTAAACACACACACACCACTGGGTTTCTTCTGTGTGTGTTCGGTGAGAGCTGGCCTGCAGCCTGGATCCTGTTACTCACTAATTATGGACAGAAGTTAAATTGCAGCGGTGACGCAGAGTCTGCAGCAGCAGCAGCAGCAGGACGTCAACTCAGAGCCAATCACAGCTCCTCATTCCTGTCAGCTGCCAAAACAAAGGCCCAGAGCAGAGGGAGCACGGTGGTGGAACTGGGCAGCTGGTTTTAAAGGCTTCACCTTCAGAGCTGAGCTGAACATCCTGCTGTGGGCTCATAGAGCTCACGCTGAGCTACCTGCTCATCAGGCTCACCTGTAGGACCCTCATGTCTGCTGGACTGCAGGAGTCCAGCTGTAGTCCAACTAACTCTTGTCTTCTAGTGAAGTTAATGCAAATGTGCCACTCAGGCTCATTTCTAGTTCATTCAACTTCAGAGCCACGACTTCTCAGCACTTTAATGATGACTCACATTAATGTGCAGAAAGTTTATGAGAAACAACACGAGTGTCTATGCAGATTTCCCAGCATGCACTTTTAGACTTAACCTTCCCCAGACACTCTGGTTTTAGTATTTTTAAAAACAGACATGATGGAAGCTTGCTGTGTGTCTTCATGCTGGATCAGGTTCTGGTTCCTTCTTTTCATAATAACCACAGTAGTTCTAACTGTGACACAGATCAGGATGAAAATGGGATCATTTATTTCACTGTAACTCCAACATGGCTTCAGCCGCTGAAGTTCAAAGTTCTCAGTCGTAAATGAAGAAGAAACGTTTTAAACTGAGGGAATGCAGACAGAAGCCCAGTCCGATCGGACCAGCTGTCTGCTCCATTCACTTTAATATCTAAAGCTTACTGAAGCTGTTTTCTCTTTTGTGTGCAGCCGGCTCTGTCGCTGCTTCACTGCTTCCTTCTATCAACTACTGAACAAATGTCGGGAAAAAAGCTTCAAAGTCTTAAAACTAAAAAATAATGTAGAAAACATGACATGTCTAATGTCTGGACATCCACACTGACAGAGACAAAGACAGTCAGGACATCAAAAACATTGGTGCCATGTTCTGATCTGGTTGATAAAACGTTTGACACGTTTTCACTTTAAAATGAAAATAAGACAGAAAATGTCATTTTCTTTCTCAGTAATGTTGAGATGATGAGTTTAAGACGAATAAATTATTTCAGGTCATAACTCCTGGAATAGTTTAACACTTGTTCTCATTTAGTTCTTCTTAACATTACATCTGTGAACAGACAGATCTTAGATCTGTTTCACTTTTACTCTGTTACGTTTGTTTTTGCTGTTTTGTTTGACTTCCATCAGTTCAGCTGCTTCAACGCGTCTTTCTTTCCTTTTATTGTGAATCCCAAAGCTCCTGTTTCCCGTTATTCCCACTCTCTCTCTTTCTGTGCGTGCATTTGTGTGTGTGTGTGTGTGTGTGTGTGTGTGTGTGTGTGTGTGCGCGTGTGCGTGACGCTGCCGTCTCCAAGCTCTCCTCTGTAGGCGCCTCCTCCTCCTTCTCCAAACATGGCGCCGGCCCGCAGCTGTGCTGCCTCCCCGACAGACGACGCAGAGAGGGAGAGAAAGAGGAGAAGAAGAAGCGGGTAGAAACTCGCCCTGAACGTGTTTTAAAAACTCTTTTAAGACGAACTCAACTTCGAGGTTCTTTACGGCGTCCAGCGGAGACTTTACGCGCAGCTTTTGGAGACGGTTACGCGTCAAGCTGTGCGCGTAACGGAGAGCCCACCTGTCCGACGAAGGTAGATTTCACTCCGTGTCTTCTAGGATGTGAATCTCCCTGATTTATGTGAGACAGCGGAGCAGAGCGAGCAGACGGACGGGTAACTCGGGGTCAGAGCTGGCTCTGGTTGAAACATGTGCAGCCCTCTGAGGAGCAGGAACACAGAGGCTGCACACGAGTGAGTCTTTCCAGGGAAAAAAACAACTTTTCCACTCGTCCACACCGAGAGGATGGATGGAGAACATTCTGCGCTGTCAGGAGTTGAGAGGGAACGAGAGAAGCTGCCACCAATCTACCACAGCTCCCCTCCTGCTGTAAGAAAGCCGCCGTTTCTCTTCAGTCGCTCCACAACAACACGCTTTGTCTGATGTTTAGAACACACGGTTCACGTGGCACAAAGTGTTCCTGCTGGTTTGAATATCTCAGTGAAGTCTGTTGTTGAATTGGCAGCTTTTTAAAATCCAAAATGAAAATCCACAGCTCAGTATCACTGGACACAGAAAAGCAGCACCGACTGGATTCATTCATAATGTTAATACAGAGAAATGATCCAAAGCAGAGTGCTGTGTGATGCTGCACACAAACACACACACACAAACACACAAATAAACAAACAAACAAACACAAAGCTAATGTAACAGCAGTTTGTTAGAAGAACAGCCACACGGTCCACGTCGTCCACATGGTGAATGTTCATCAGTGTTGTGCAGGTTTGACTTTTTCTTTTGTGTTTTTCAGACTTTCTTTGAAGGTTTCTGCAACTTTTTGTGTCACTCGTTGCTTTTTTGGTCTGATTTGCACTAAACAGAATTATTTGAGAAAGAAAATTTTAAACAGCCTAATGAGAAAGTGTAGCTTCACCTTTGGACAGTGTTGCATCAATATCTGCGTGTGCATCTGATTTTAATGCAAACCTTCTTTCATTTGATCCTGAGTCCGGCTGTCTTTAGTACATTGGAGCAGATCTGCTCGTCCATGTGATGTTGTTGAACTTTAAACGGGGATTTTGTCCTGCAGCCACACGAATGCATAAAACATGAGAAAGCAACATGCAGACAGTGAACTAAAACGCCTGGTTTTCTGGTTGTTTGGAAAAAGTGATGCCCTGTCTTACGTAATGAGTCCTGACTGGAGCTCCATGTCCGATGATGTAATCGCTGTGTTTTTAAATGCAGAGCAGGAAGCGCTCAGCTTTGGCTTCCTATTGGAGCGTTTCTTCTTTTTTTGGTTGGGTTCTCGGTGTCACTCCGGAGCAGGCTGGCGGAGCTGCAGGCTGGTTTGGGTTGATGTCATCTCCATTGTGTCAGGGAGCAGGAATGTGCAGATCGGATGGTTTGACCAATAAACAGTCTGTCATTGCTCAGACCCACTTCGCTGCTGTCTGGAAAGGCCATAAAGTGGCTGCATGCGTTTTTCTCTGCAACTTCAGTCCCGCCGCTTCTGATTCTTCTCCTGCAGAAGTCTTCTGAAGAAAGTGGGGCTGAAAGGTTGCGTAAAGAGGCTGTGGGAGGCAGGGGGCCGTCGTGTTACCGAACCAATAAAAGCAGAAGATTTGCAGACGGCCGCAGAAGAGGGAAGCGTGTGTTTGTTCCACCTGAGCAGGAAAGCAGCAGAGATGCTGATGTGTGGACGCTGCCTGAGGCTCGTTGTCCTAATGAGACCTTCTGACAACATGACAATCTGGTTTCCTTCAGCTAACCTGACTCAGCAGAGAACTCTGCTTCCAGCCTTTCAATGGAAACTTTCTCTGTTGTGAACATGACCTGCTTCCTGCTGACTGCACAGCCCAGCAGCTCTGAACCTTTGGGAACGTTTGATGAGCTGCTTTCTGACTCTTTGCTGATTAAACAGTCGTCTGGAATCACACGAGCACTGATTTACAAAATGTGGAGATTTCTGTCCCTCCAAAGGCTCCACATGTGGGTCTGTCCACGCTGAAGGCAGACCCAGACTAAACCTGTCAGGTCACTACGGTTCATGTCATTTGCATTCGTTCTGTTTGTTCCAGCTGTTGGAGATCCACCTTCATCCACGGGCCTGAAGCCCGTCTGGTGGCCTGTGTACAGCGTGTCTTCTGGTTTCTCCTGTTTGATTGAATCAATAAATCCTGCTTCCTCATCAGTCTAATATGTGACGCCTCAAACCACAAATGAAGCAGCAGAAGCTGATCAGATGTGATGCTTCTGGTTGGAGTCGACTGGCTGAGGATCCAGATCAGGTCTCAGTGGACTCAGCTCAGTGCTGGATGGTTGCTTTGCTGTTTGTCTGGCTGTTCACATACTGTATTAGATTCTAATGTGAACAGGTTGAGGTTCTGAACGGACCTGAATGTGCACAAGAACAACAGCACTTCTGTTACAAACACGACGGCAGCATTTCCAGTCTGCTGTACAGTGAAGTCACCAGAACACTGAGACACACGTCTGCTTGTGGGTTTTGTGGACTGACGGCTGCTGCTGGTGTGAAGTCGGAGCCTCAACGGCTTCACTCATCTCAGCCTCAATATCAGGACGTCACCCCAAATACTGAGGAGGTCCGATGAGCCCGAACCCGTCCATGTTTGTATTCAGACAGTGACTCCAGCCTGAGCAGAGTTAGTCTGGACCTACATCAGACAGATCGATGCTGTACTGATCTGAGGAACATTCAGCCATCCGGGAGCTTAAACATACAAACAGGCAAAGAGGGCGATGTGTTGGTACGTATACGTCAGAGAGGTGGCGCTGTGGTCCAAGTTCAGACATGTTACAGTCGTATCACACCTGTATGTCAATGAGCAGAACACACGTGGCCCAGATCAGAGCTGAACAACATCAGGATCTGTGTGATTGAGGATCGTCTACCTGATGGGACTCATGCAGTCTGAATGCATTGGATCCAGTGTGTTCAGGTTGGTTCTGAATGAATCATGGTTTAAACACACAGAGCTCCAGGCTGACCAGAACTTCTCCTGTCTATAGTCTGTCTGCTGGATTCACGTCAAACAGCTGATTGTTGGTTCAGACCAACATGTTTGTGTGTCGGCGTCAAACAAAACTCAACAGAAGCTCTTTTTCTTTCATCTTATTTCATTTATGGATCAGAACCGGGCGCTCAGGTTGAGACGTGTCCGACCTCTGCAGACACGTCTTCATTGATCTCAGCATCCTCGACAACATCTCCTGTTTCTGTGTCTTTGGACTCAAACATTACGTCTCAGATTTACTTCTGTCCCAGATTCAGTGTGGTTCTGTTTGTTCTGGTTCCGTGCGTCTCGTCGTCCAGACGCACCAGCGCTGGCCTGAATCTGTCACGACTGGCCGCCAGACTCGCGTCAGGCTTTGTGGTGAACTGTGCACCAGAGTGGGCTGAACCTTGTTAAACTGGATTTTACGAGCCGTTTCTGACCAGAACCTGATTCTTCTGCCTAAATCAACCAAAATCTGCAGACATGAGCTCTGGCAGCGAGAGTCGGCTCACATCTGGTCCTCTGGTGCCAGAACTCAGCCGAATGTGGCAGCGCTCAGCCGTACTGGCCCGGACTGGATGATCATGGACTGAACAGGTTTGGTCGGTCCAGCAGTCCTCAGCTGGAAGCTTTGACGTGTTCGAGTATAAAACAATAAAATGAAGAAGAATGTGGTCTTGACGGGACAGAAAACTAAAGACAGAATAAGTTGCTCATTATCAGCGGCTCTGACGAACACAAACCGTCATCCAGCAGATCGATGGAAGATTAACAGCCGAGACGGACGGCGAGCTGCAGAGCGAGTGTTTGTGAGAACGTCAGATGTTCTTCTTGGTGTGGTTTCTGTCTGGATGACAGCATTTCCTCTCAGACCGAGCAGAGCCGGACAGAACCCGGGTAGAGCTGCTAATTGTTGTCAGATGTGAACCAGGACGCAGTCATCAAGGAAAACTCCACACGGAGACATTTGTTGATGGAGCTTGTTTACGCTGATGCTTCTCGGAGCCTCACCTGTCACTCAGCCGCTGTGGGCGGGGCCTCGGATGGAGCTAATGAAAGAGTGCGACGGAGTGATGTGGCCGCCGTGTGTTCCGCTCACAGAGAGGTGTAATTACAGCACGTCAGCCGTGCAGGAGGTGGAGGACGCCGCCGCCGCACTGCAGTCTGGGAGCTCAACGCCAGCACGGCAGCGTGTTGCTGCAGTTTAGCCTGTTAGCATGCTAATCAGCTGAATGCTAGTCATTTAAGTAAACGACCATTTCAGATACGTTCTTTTTATTCTGACAAACTGCATGCAGTCGTATAACGCAGCATGAAACAGACGTAAAGGTTCACAGATTAAAGGTCAGAAGTGTAGCGTGAAGCTGGAAACTCCAGCGTGAGCAGAAGACGTTAGCATTAAAGTCAGCAGTCAAACTCAGAAAGAAATTCAACTTTATATGAAAGCACCAAACGCAGTGGAAAAGTTCTGTCTGCTTGTTAAACAGATTGCAGCAGGACGGAGCCTCGAACATCTGCTCCTTCAGGTGTCACTGTTCTGACTCTGATCCTCAGACCAGGACCTGGTTTGATCTGTTGGACACCATCATGGTTATGAAGGCAGCGCTGTAGCTGGAGGACACGTCGTCTTAACGAGCTCCGTTTCATCGTGGTTCTGTCGTCTGACAGCAGAATGACCTGTAGATGAACACAGCAGCGCCTCCAGCTGTCCTCAGTGTGTTTTAAAGGAGACGTTATAGAGAAGGACTGACAGAAGGAGGTGATTTAAGGTCATGTGCTTCTACAAGCTTCTTTCAGACGCTTTCAGTAGATCTGAAGGCATCTGACCGTGTCTGAACGCTTCACGTCTAAATGAACGCCCTGCTCGCTTCTACTGGGTCGGACCCACTGACGTTTCTGTGTAATGTTCAACATGTCCTCCATCACGTAGATGGATCGTAGCCGGATGGGTAAAGTACGTTTTCACCTGATTTTGAGGCTAAATTGAAGGAAAATCAACCAGAGTTTAAATGAAACCCCTAAATGTCAAACTGATGGAGGCTCTGGAGGGTTTCCCAAAGTCGCTTCATCCCCACGTTCACGGCTGCAGCCTTTAATCACAGCCACCAGGTGTTTGTTAGAGTCTGATCCAGGATGTGATGGTGAGCGACTCGTCCTCTGACTTCAGGTCTAGTTAAATATCTGGACTCCTCGGTGGTACATGGACGTGTGCAGTGTGTGTTTTAGTTTGAATCTGCTCTTCACTGCAGACTTTAGGTGAATGAATGCAGGTTGGTGGTGAGTTCACAGACGTGGTTGATGACGGCGCTCAGTTTGTGTTTGTCTGCAGCTCAGGTGGACTTAGTTTGATGTGATGTGAGAGAACAACCGTCACATCTCATCAGCGCCGAGCGC